CTGCCCCCACCCCCTCGGTGCCTGCCATGTCGGGTGCAGCTCAGGGCAGGGAGGTGGGGAGGGCAGACTGGGACATCCCCCGGGGGTTCTGCCACGGTCCGTGGAGGTGCAAGTCCACAGGCAGTGCTCTCTCTTCCCTTCCAGGCACGGAGAGCGACAGCGCTGAGCACGATTACGAAACTGTTGATGACAATGTTCAAAAGACAATTCGCAAAATGCAGGCAGTTTTTCCTTTCTAGCCCTCTGGTTTCTAGAAGCCATCCAGCCTCCAAATACTCTGAGGCCTTACGTGACAGTGGTTACTTGCAGAGGCTAAATCTAGCTGAAACCAGGACAACAGTGCACCCTCCAACTGCCTCGATCCTGCAGAAAGGTGCCCGCTTTCCCTGGAGGCAGCTGCCCATGTGCCGTCAGGACAGCCCCCAGCACAGAATAAATCCCCCTGTTGTGCTGTGGGCTGTGTCCTCAGCTCTCACACATGGGACTCTCCAACAGCACCGGACCAGCACGCGGCTGGGTGGCCACCAAGATACCACTGAGATGCCAGCCCAGGCCCTGGGACACGGATCTGACTCTGCTCCGCTGCATTACCGCAGCATCTAGGCTGGGATTACGAGTGCTTCCAGATGGAGATGCTTCGGGGCCAGCGCGTCCAGACACTGCTTGGCACATGGGGTGGGATGGGGTTAGGAGGAGACATGACAAGGAGCTTCACACAGTGCAGTCAACGCCCCGGCTGGGGCTCAGCCCTCCGAGTGACACATTTTTGCACATCAGAAACCCACTTTCACAAGGCCAAAGCTGCATTTTTCTCAAGCACAGCCAAACTCACTTATCACTCTGGCCTGTTTTCTCACCAAGGGTGCAGAAACATGTAAAAATATTGCAGCCTAAAGTTTTGCTGACATTCTCATCTGGTTTTAACTGCACTTGCAACTGGGAGCAATGTCTGTCCTGGAGCTCCATGGCCTCTTGCTTGCAAGCATGCTTGTTGAACTCTTGCAGAGTCTTGGCGCCTACAAAGGCCCCTGCTGCACTTGTGGCATTGGATGCAAAAAATGACCTGAAAACCAAACAAGGACCAAAGGTCGACTCTTTTTTCGCGGAAGTTTGGCAAAGCCCTGGGAAAGTGACAGAGACAAAGATCTCATAGTGCAGATGTGCCTTAACAGAGGAGAGCTCTCGAGGGGAGAGCTTTACACCAAAACCAAGGAGGTGTTTCACTCCTGCATCACATACTGCGCTCCTCTTTCAAATCAAAGCTGGAAAATAAATTTTAAATTTCACTGAAGATGGAACTGTTGGGTACTTTTTCCCCTCTCTCAGTGAAGAGTAGGTTTGGGTTCAGTTTTTCAGTTCATGTCGTTGCTCACTCAGCGCCTAGGGCAGCGTCCCAACGCTGCAGAAGGATGACAGGATCTCATTCATTCGAGCCTGGCTCGAGCCTAGCTTGGGTTTGGGCTGGTGTTCTCTGGCTCTGGTTCTGCCCTGGCATTTACACTCGATATTGGCACTGTCTCCTCAAATCACTATTGCTGCTGAGGTCCTTTCACGCAACACTCACCCCAGGAGGGAGAACCCAGCTCCCACCTGCAAACAGGCGCTCGCTATTTGTTAACAGCACCTAAATCGTGGTGTCAGTGTCACATTGTGATATGATGTCAGGTCAATGGAGGACAGAGAGAGGGACTACCACGAGTCCTTCTCAGTCTGACCAGTCTCCAGTTTTCCAATACAGACGAGACCCGTGTACCCAACCCGCCTGCCGCACCCCAGTTAAGGGGAAGGGGGGTCACCTTGAACCCTTTACAATGTGACCGGTCCGTCAGGCTCACGCTGACAGTGTCACTGGGACAGATCCCTCTGGGCAGCCCGCTGAGTCGGAGGGTGTTCGTCTGACCTGCTCAGGGACCCTCACAGGCATTGCACCGGGCCAAAGCCCTTCTATCCCCAGTATCAATTGTCAAAATTTCCGGTCAAAATTTCCGGAAACTTATGTTTATAGCAGATAAATTTTATTACATATATTGACAGGATACAGATTCGAAGACAGCGGTGATAGGGACTGACTGCGAAACCAGAACTGATTCAATATAAACCCAGAACTGCTCAGTGACAATACTCAACAGCCGCAAGGTGTTAGTAGCTAATCGTGCGTAACACAGAGCTCTGACCCACAGGTGTCCCTGTGGGGGGGGAAGGGAGGTCCAGCCCATCGACTGATCCCAGATGTTCCGATGGAGGGCTTCCCCCAACACCCCCTTTCTCCTAAGCCATTTGTATAATTTTAGACGAGGCTCGAGTGACTAGTCATACATACCTTTGTCAGGATTGGTGTAAATTTTCCTTGCTTTGATTTAAAGGTATAGGCTAGAAGAATTCCAGAGTGCATGCTCAGTGAGGGGTGGTTGCAGCCCAGAGGTGGGTAGCTTTTGGGATGGAGGTGTGTTTTGGTATGATAGTGACATTATAATGAGCAAAGTTCAGCTTCAGGACACAATTTCACCATCATTGCTGAGGCAGTAGTTGCGATCCATCTTTCTTGATGCTAACTATGCGGTTATCTTCACCGGACATTCTTTGTTCCTCATAACAGGGATGAGCTGCAGTACCTCCGTACCACTCTGTTCCCCATTTCAAGGATATTGCACATTCCGTTCGACCAGATGCAGGCCTTGTCCATTCCAAGTGCATTCCGTTCCTGGGAGCAGCAACTGTCTCACCTCAAAGCTGCTCTAATATTACAGCTTGTGTTAAGATGTAAGCTGAACTTTGGGGGATTGTAAGCATTCTGAGTTTGGATTTCACTGTTAGTTCACAGATAGTTTTAAATGCAAACTTTCTGTGAAGCAGCCAACACTCTGTCCCCTAAGACCTGTTCCAAATTGTCTCTCCATCCAGACAACAGCAGATGCTCCTGGATGCTTTGAAGATCAAGCAGCAAATGGAGAGTAGGCAAAGACTGAAACTCCCTCCTTGGCCAACGAGTTTTTCCTCTCCAGTCACACCACAAGTGTTTTGTCCAGTTGCACAACTCCTCTCTTAACTGCAAGCAATTGCATTCATCTTCCCTTCCCAAAATCATCAGGGATTTTCTTCCTAACCTGCACGCCTCCTGTAAAAGGGAAATGACAGCACTTTTGGCTTCTAGATCCTGGGAGTTCACCTCTTAGACATTTATAGCACAGTTGAGCCCCAGAGGTGCACCGTGGGCCAAAGCTGCGCCACTCTCTGCACCTGAGCACATCAGCAGGGTTTGCCCCAGCATTAAGCCAGAAGCAGAAGTCCTGGGCCCAGCAACCTGCCCCACAGATGTGCAAAGAACCACTTTTTCAAAGCCAGGTCCCTTCACCAGTCCCTAGCAACAAAAACCCGATGACTGGCAGCTCCTGTGGCACCCAGAGTCAACCAGCTCATGAGCCCACCAGCATCAGCCCTGGCTGCACAGGGTGCTTTTCCAGCAGGCTGCTGGGAACTCAGCAGGCAGCAAAGGACAGGTCAGCACAGCACAGCAGGCTCTCATCTGCACATGTTCACCACCACATCCATGGTTCCTCCTATGAGGACAGCTACACACCTTGGGACTTCACCGGGTCATGGTGAAAAAGGCTCCTAAATATTTATGAACTCCTGAAACGCTCCCATTAGCAAATGCAAAACAATTCCCAGAAGGTGGTTTTCAGCTTTGTGTTTTATGTAACAGGAAATATATAACAGCTGAGGACAGAAACACGCTGAAGGAACTGGCCTCAGCATGCTGCCTCCTGGAACAATGCAGGACTGTGCAGAGAAACACGAGATGCAAATCTTCTACCTCCACCCAGATATATCAGCAGTATCAACCCTGCTCTTTCCTAATTTAGTGTTTTCCTCTGTTACACTTTAAGAATAGTTTAAAAAAGAAAAACTTCTTCCACATGATGTAATTCATTCTGAGCTTCAGCTACTTTTGGTGGCAGAAATGATCCTGGGTGTATGTGCAACACTGATACAACATGTAGCTTCCTCCAGTAGTACAACTATTTAATTTCTTAGTATCCAGACGTTCATTTCAGTTTGACCTTTCAAAGCAATTTCCTGCAAAAGCTAAGGAAAAAATAAGCATAATTAAAGAAACTCTGAAAGGATGGGCTGTGCTTTTACCCACATGATTAAGTTCTGTCAACACAGATGTTCTTCTTCAGGGTAGAAGAAAAGCCTCTAGAGCCACACAACGCAGGCAAGATTACCCAAGTTAAAGTTTTATTGGAAACATCCAAAAGCTCTAGTAACAAGATCAGCTCATAGTACAAAAACCAGATTTAAATGTGTAAACTAAACCAATTAAAAATGTATTCATCATGATTGTACATTAATGGAATATTACTTTTGGAATACTACCCACTTTGTGAATGAAATGGAATGAAAGCTGAGTTAGGAGAAACAGCAACAGAAACAAAAGACAATCTGTCCTGAACAAGACCAAAAAGAGGTGGTTCTAACACAGGCATCCTCTAAGGAGACAAAATCAAACTGGACGCTCTGAAGCTTGGAGTTGTTCAGTTTTCCTGTGTCAGTCATGTGGCATATAATCGAGACCAGTTAACAGAATCCTACACGTTCTGCTTGTCCTTGAATTCCAAGGAGGCCCTTGTGGAGTAACTGAGGCTCTCACAGGCTAGAAAGAGCAAAGATCACCTCCCGTGTCACAAAGCTCGGCAGGATAACTCGGTACACGGAAAAGCATTTGCTTTGAACTAAATCCATCTGGAAGTAACCTCACTCAGCATCCGTTGACTTATAGTGATCGTCGTCCACAGTGGAGTAGATGTGTCCCTCACTGCTAAGGAACTCAACAGCTTGCCTTTGAAGGAAAAAAATAGAAAAAAGGAAGCAAGAACTAGTTAGCAATTATCAACCCCCTTCTCTCAGGGATATCCTGTTTATAGACTCCATCCCTACTGTTCCCTTCTGGCACCACCCGCCAAGGGAAGCTCTTGGTGGCTCTATCCTGTTAGAGTTTAAGTGCTGCTCCACCAGCCAGTAGGTACAGAAGGTTTCTCCACAGCTATGGCAGTATGCTCCCCAGCAGCTCTTAGACTGCCTGCCACAGAGGGGAAGGCCACCACGTCTCAGGTAACAGTGCTGACAACTCTGCTTCCAAGGGGACAGAACACGGAAAAATAATGGATGTTATTCACTGTCTTTAGAGAAAATACTTGTGAGGCACTGCAGTACTCCCAGGTACCTACTGCTTTGCTACCGAACTGCTAACAGCTTGTTTTGAAAAGAGGGAACGAAGCATTTTATCGCCCCTTCAACTGGCTCATTCGAAGTGGCTGAAAACTTCAAAAGCTCTGGCTCACTACCGCATCCTACTGGAATATCTGGAATTACTAGCGCTGTCGAACAAGTAAGGATCTGGACTTGCCCACTATTTTCCTCTGTGTTCTTTTATCAGACTCCAGGACAGACTGCCTGGATTTCCAGAACATCCTACACACTTACTTGATTGTTGACATGCTCATATTGTGGAGCTGAAGTTTCAGCTCTTGGAGACTCATACCTTCTGGGACAGGGCAGTTTTTGATCAAGTTCAGCACCTGGAAAAGCAAGAACGACCAGAAGTAGGCAGCTAAGCTTCTCCATCAACGAGAAACAGCAAGGTCAAGGAAGAACCATCCGTCTTCCAAGAGTAACTGAGCTTGCATTCCTGTGTCCTACACCACACCACAGCAGCATCTGCTGTGGCCGCTGTGTTCCTGGAGAAGCTGCTTGCACCCACCTGACTCTGATGCACTGAGAGTCCATTCACTGGCAGGCTGCTCCCTCTTCCATAGTCCCCCATGTCACCAATCCCAGTGGAGGAAAACGACTGGGGCACTCTTGATGCTGACTGCAATTATGAATAAAATTGCTGCAGTTACACAGGCTGCCGCAAGCCCACGGCATTAAAGACTCAGAGAAATAATAATAAAAAATAGACTCCCAAAAGAAACTGCTGGAAATGGACTGCAACACAACCTCTCTCCAAGGAAGCCAGGATTCCAGTTACACCTTCACTGTAGCCCTCCAACAGCTTCAAGCTTTCCAGCCCCACAACTGGTGAACAATTAGATGATCCGAGGGCTGGAACATCTCTGCTATGAAGACAGGCTGGGAGAGTTGGGGCTGTTCAGCCTGGAGAAGAGAAGGCTCCAGGGTGATCTTATTGCAGCTTTCCAGTACCTAAAGGGGCTACAGGAAAGCTGGAGAGGGGCTTTGGACAACAGTGTGTAGTGACAGGACAAGGGGCAATGGGTTTAAACTGAAAGAGGGGAGATTTAGATTAGATATAAGGAAGAAATTTTTCACTCTGAGGGTGGTGAGGCACTGGCACAGGTTGCCCAGAGAAGTTGTGGCTGCCCCATCCCTGGAAGCGTTCAAGGCCAGGTTGGATGAGGCTTTGAGCAACCTGGTGTAGTGGAGGGTGTCCCTGCCCATGGCAGGGGGGTTGGAACTGGATGACCTTTGAGGTCCCTTTCAACCCAAACCATTCTATTCTATTCTATTAAAATTTCCCCAACGAACCCCAAGGTCTCTCATTGGGAGATAACCAGTAGCCCAGGAAGGGTCAAGATGAAATCAAGATCTTCAAGTACATACCATAAGATTTTTTCTGAGGATCATATGCGCATTGACAATCTCTAGTATGTGTGTGGTGAACTCATTCATGTTTTCCAGAGGCATGATCTTAAATGCCACCAAGCTTTTCTTATTCTTTCAGAGAGAAAAAAAAAAAAGCAAAGAAAAAAATTGACATCATAGCCACAGGAACATGCTTAACAACCAATCCAACCATTCTTTCCAGTGGGCAGGGAGCTTATCTGCACATAACTAGTGCAAAATTTTCTGACCTATGATTTTAAACATGATTTTGCAAGATGCCGCAGCCAGGGTAACTTCTATTTCTAACCAGCTGGTAATTAATTGCACTTTACTTTAACACATGTACCATTATTTGAATATTTACTCACATATTTAGTTACAATATTTAGTTATGAGGCAACCACATCACATCATGTGCTACAAGACACGTCCCATTAACCAGAACCCCATCTAAGCTCTGCAGCACGAACACTGGAGAACCTGGTGGCCAGTACTCTATTCTGCTGAAAACAATGCCCTGATGAAAAGTGGCATTTTAAAATGGGTCCTCTGTCCTGTGCATTGAGGAACAACTCAAGTGTTATTAAATACAGCTCTGGCAAAAACATTTGAGGATTTGCTCCCGGGAAAGGGCGAGCACAGACCGTAATGAAGTGGATATTCCGAAGGGAGCCCAGCTAACACTGTGCCAGATCACCAATCCCTCATGCTGCTGACCCAGCCTTACGGCTTCGAATTGGACACAGGTAACGTGATCTTACCTGGAAAGATCGAAGATGACCAGCTACTTCCACATAAGTTCCCGGAGGTACCACAACATTCTCGCCACCTGCCTCCTAATAGAGAGGAAAAGGAGAAAGGAATTGCTGATTCACACTTCCATTTCTCCATTATCACGATAAGTGACTTTGGCAAGGCAGCTTATCTCAAGCGAACACAAACAGCATGCATGCCTATGTCTAGTAAAGGCAGTTAGGTAAACATAACTGTAAATGAAAAATGGAGAAAAAAATTGCTCATTTGAAACACTGTACACGACAGCAGTCAAAGCCAGTCGCCTGCTTCGCTGTCTCTGTCCACATCCGAGGGATTTGCATAGATTAACAAGAGGAAAAAACCTTCAAATAATGAGTGTCTTAATTACTCTCCCAAAGTTTTCAACTGAACTCAGCAGTTTGCCTTCCAGTATGTGTTGCGGTAACACGGGATAGCTTTAAAGGCCTGCTATACCAGCAGTGAAAATTACCAGCACTTCGGGAGGCACACATCAGAAAACAAGACAATATTCATCAGTACACGTTTGCCTCCATCGCTGAGCCACACAGGAACGTCTCTGTTCACTCCCTCTCCTTGCATTTCCACACAGAGGTGCTGACCATGCCCCTCCCCGTTCAGCCATGAAGTCAACAGTTGAGCTTCAGCAGCTGAAGTGACAGATTCCAAGTGACTCGGTGTAGAACCACAGACAAATTACAAACAGGGCAGAGTCAGGTGCAGCACTGCTGATCTCTGCGACAGCAGCATCTCCCTTGGCTTGCAGAGGCGTGAATGTCTTAAAACGCTGTTCAGAACAGCCACTTTTTGATGAGTTCTCTCTCTCCACTGCTCCCAAAAGCTTTTAAAGCAGCATGTTCATAAGGAATCTGGTGCTTACATCAGTATCGACCCACTGCCTGACATCCATCGGGGCCGCCGTCATGTCATCCACTTTGTAGAGAATGTTGGTCGGTGCTTTCTCGGCGTGCCGAATTATGCCCATGATGGTGACCTGCGTTGGAAGAGGGAGGCCTTTACCCGGGATGGCCTTTGTTTCACGCGCGGCCTTCCCGCCGGCCGCCCTGCCCCGGCGCCCACCTGGGAGATCTCCACGTCGTGGATGCGGAAGGTCTCGTCGACCTGCTCGGCTGCCAGCAGCTGCGACACGGTGCAGGGCACGATGTTCTGCGAGCGCATCC